AAATTCGCGTTGTTCAGTTATCTTTGTTAGGATCCATATTCTCGAATATTTTATTAGTATTAGGATCGTGTATACTCGCTGGTGGTATTATCATTCTTAAAGAAGGGCAATTGGAACAAGAGTTTAGTTCGACTGCTGCATAAGCAAGTTCGAGTGTAATGACTCTAGCGTGTATTGCTCTAATTGTTTCTGCAGCATTTAGTCTTTCTATTACTATTAACATGAATGATCCCAGAGTTTTTAGCATAAGTTATGGAACCTCATTATTATTAATCATAATATATATATTTTATTTATATTTTCAGGTATAATATTAATATTGTCTATTTTTCAATATTTCAAGTTCTTTATAATTTATTTCTTATTTATTAATAGTTAAAAACCCATAAAGATCTATTTAAAAATGAAGAAAACAATGATTCACAAATAAGCAAGCATTTGGCAATATTTTTACTAATTATAGTGATTGTGATAACTGCATTTTTATCTGAATTTCTTGTTAGTTCAATTGAAGGAGTCATTACTTCTCTTGGATTAAGTAAAACTTTTATTGGATTAATTCTACTTCCTATTATCGGAAATGCTGCTGAGATAATTGACTTCAACACAGAACACAAGAACTTTCTTTAATATATTTATTCATATTTAATCTTTAGCATGTTAGTTCTGTTACTATTGCAATGAAAAATAAGATGGATTTTGCGATTTGCATTTCAATTGGCAGCTCAACTGTAAGTATAAATTGTTATCATTATCAAAAACAGAATCTGAAGTTTTTATTTTATTTAGCAAATAGCATTATTTGTTACTCCTTTATTAGTGATATTGGGTTGGATTATAGGCCAACCGATATCATTATTCTTTTTGCCTTTTGAAGCTCTATGTTTATTTATAGCTGTCATTCTTTCAAATTACTTGGTTCAGGTATGCTTAATTATTGATTGATATTATATATTGAATGTAATTTGACATTTTACGTTAATTATAGGATAAGTATCGTTAAACTTATTCTACTATACTAAACTAAATTATTTATAAATTTGACCGCTAACTTTAACAGATGAAAAATCGAATTGGTTAGAAGGTGCATTGCTCTTAGCAACCTATATCATAATGGGATTAGCATTTTATTATTATCCTGATAATTA